ACATGATGGCGTCTGTCACGGCCTTCTTGAACTGCCTGCAAGGAGACAGGAGCCGGTGGGATCCGCGGCGCCGGAGCCGGAGCCCGTGCCGGAGCCAACTCACCTCATGGCCAAGTACATGGGGCGGATGGCGAAGAGCGGGAACGTGTGGACTTTGATCATGATGGTCATGAAGGCCATGTAGAGCAGGACCTTGATGAAGCCTGGGGGAAGGAAGCGCATCAGGGGCTTGGGCTTGGTCAATCATGGGTTGGTTGAGGTGGGACGGGACCTCCAAGGTCATTCTGTCCCATATTCCTCATCAATCATGGGTTGGTTGAGGTGGGACAGGACCTCCAAGGTCATCCTGTCCCATATTCCTGATCAATCATGGATTGGTTGAGGTAGGATGGGACCTCCAAGGCCATCTGCTCAAGCAGGTCACTCCTCAAAGGTGGTGACCCACCAGCTTCTGAGCATCTCCAAGGCTGGAGATGCCACCAGCTCTGTGAACAACCAGTCCCGGCTCTCTCTTGGCCCCTCCAGTCCCTTCATCCCTTAGGGGCCCTTCGCTGGATGTTCTCCAGTAGGTCTCTCTCTCTCTTGGACCGGAAGGCCCAGAATGGCCTCACTACCCATGATCACCTCCCAGGACACTGGTGGCTTGTGCTCAAGCCAGTGTCCACCAGAGCCCCTGGCTGAAGCGCCACCCGGTGTGTCCCATGCTGGGGGTGGTTGGACTTGGCCAATCCCTTTGTTGAACCTCATGAGGTTCTTCTGGGACCATTTCTCCAGCTGGAAAAGGTCCCTGTGGACGGCGGCCAAACCTCAACCAATCCCACCTGGCTTGGTGGCACCAAGGGGACACTCAGCTCCATCCCTTAGGTCACCCATGAAGATGGATCAGCCCTTGGGATGCTGCTGAGACCCACTTCTTCGTTAACAGGTGCCTAATTGCACCTCCTAACGAGGGTTACGGGGCCACAAGCACATGGAACCACCCCCTTGAGCCCCAAACCTGGGTGGGATGAGGAGGGAATGAGGGCCCAGAGGCCAAGGTACCGGTGAAGAGCTCCGTGTAGAGCATGTAGACAGCTTTGCTGTCCCAGGGGTTCTCGTTCTGCAGGTCGATGGAGTGCAGCACGTACTTGATGAAGATGGTGAGCACCATGGTCAGGAGGATGGCGTACTGCAGGCAGGGAGAGCGTGGTGGGCACCAGGACCTGGATGGGGAGCTGGCGCTGGCCTCCACGTGAAGCCATCTCCTACCTCAAAGCCAAAGACGAGCTGGACGGAGGCTCCTCGCGTGAGGATGCTGTGGTACGCGTGGCTGACAAAGAGGAAGTCCAGGATTCCCAGCAGGAACATCAAGGCTGTGGCAGGAAGGAAAGAAATGGGGATGGAAAGCTCCCAAAGGAAGAAGGAGACGAGCCTCAAGGTGGGGGGGACCCCATAAAGTTAAGCTTGGAGGGTCACATCCCAAACATATCCCCCCAGGAGAGTGGGATCCTCCAGGAGGAGGCCCCAGAGGCTCAATGAACAAGTCCTGGAAGCCAGATACTCACAGACGATGCGGAAGTGGAAGAGCCAGGAGATGTTGGGGCTCCTTTCCATCTGCAAGAGAGAAGGCTTGAGCTTTCCCCCCCCAAAAGGCAGCATTTTGGGGGCCATTCTCACCCCCCCCCAGCACTCACAAAGTCCACTCGGTCTTCAGCCAACCAGTGGAAGCACTTGAGGAAGAGGAGGAGAGTGAAGAGGGCGACGAAGCGAGGGCTGAAGTCGTCCCTGAAGACGGTGAAGGCCAAGCAGGTCTCGGTCACCGCATACCACGAGCGCTCCAGGAGGTGCTGGGAGAGGGGAGGTGATGAGGGGTGATGGGGGGGGTCCCCACAGCCTCTGCCCCACATACTGGAAGCCAAAAAGGGGCCCAAGGTCTCTGAGGGGTCCAAATCCCCCTCAAATAGTGCCTAAAAGTCTCTTGAGGGTCGAAATTCCACCCAAAGTGGAGCCAAACGCCTGTCAGGGTTCAAAATCTGCCCCCAAATGGCATCAAAAGCCTCTTGGGGTCCGAAATCCTCCTCCCAAATGGTGCCTAAAAATCTTTTGGGGTTCAAAATCTCCCCCAAAACGGAGCCAAAGACCTCTCAGATTTCAAAGTGCCCCCCGCGATGGCATCAAAGGTCTCTTGGGGTTCAAGTTCCCTTCCAAATAGTAACAGGAAGTCTCCTTGGGTTCACAGTTCCCCCCAGAATGGCAACAAAGACCTCACTTGGGGTCCCAAACCCCCTTCAAATGGTGCTGAAAGTCTCTTGAGATTCAAAATCCCCCCCAAACCAGAGTGAAAAACCTCTCAGGGATCAAAATCCCTCCCCCAAAACGGCATCAAAGACCTCTTGGGGTCCCAACCCGCCCTCAAATGGTGCTGAAAGTCCCCTTGGGTCCAAACGCCCTCCCCAAATGGCATCAGAGGCCCCCCAAATGCACCACCAGCACCACATCCCCCCATCCCCAGCACGGAATTCCAGCTGTTCCCACCATCCCTCACCTCCATCTCTGCCGCCCGCAGCTGCCCAAAGAACACTTTGCCCATGAACTTCCCCAGGAGGAAAACCAGGACAAAGGCCTGGATGTAGAGAACCTGCAGGGAAAAGCGGGAATGGGGAGGAGGGGATGGCAGGAGGCGATGAGGAAGGAGCCACAGTGACAACCGGATGCAGGGGAGGCGTTTGGCTCCCAGGGGAGGGGGGGATGCTCTCAGTTACCCAGAAAACGACCCATTTTGGTCACCAAAAGCAGAAGTGGGATTAATGCCCCACTGCCCCTCGTGAGGTGGGTACTTACAGCCATGCTGGGGCTGGATTTGGTGAGATAAACCACGGTGGGGTAGAACTGGTGCTTCAGGTAATAGGCATGAGCCACCA